AATCAAACCTATACAGACACTTTAGCCTAAAGCTACAGTACATTCTAACGCTTTCATAATTTAAGAACTCATAAACGTTCAATAACTGTTGAAAAGGGGGGTAGCAAAATCAATTTATTTATACATTTCTTAGCTTCCCCAACCCCGCTTAAGCCTGGCGTATGGATTGCCTTCCAGTCAGTGCACTAACTATTCTACATGTTTAAATCCATCACAAGACCATTCTCTATGTTTTGGTGGTATTGATTTCGGTCGAGCTCTATTATTCACAATTCTTGCAGAGCTGTTACTTTCGATATTTGTGTTATTTATCTAAGAATATACGAGTACATATAAATTCATATACAATATTTACACTAAAAGTTACAGATTGGCAACTTTTTATGATGATTTACATTTAATATTTTAGAAGTTTTGAAGGACTCTTTAAGAGGACATAAACATTGACATTTGTTACATATGTGATGTATGTTTTGATTTGAGACAAATTTCTATCGATAAGGCATCAGTTTAATAATAATAATAAAGTCTTTATTTAAAGAGGCTACACAGTTGCAACAAAGGCAATCTACCCTGTGGGCCTCATAAAATGTACATATTTACAATCATACAGTTGTGAATAACATGAAATATTATGCAGAAACATAAAAAAAAGTTTAAAAAAGAGGCATCAGTTCATAAAAAGCAAGTACATGAAAATGATTTAAGATCCTAGAAAAAAATATTGATTAGAAATAACCTCATGAAATATTGTTATAAATGTGAAAATAATTAATATTGATTTGCTGCTTAGTATCCATGGCACGATTCTATTGAATTTAATTCAGTAATAATGGATAGCTACAACTTATTTCAAATCAATATTAAATTGTGCTGTGTTGGAATATGTATAAAATAATTTTAGTTTTTAATACATAGACAATTTTTTGATTAGTTGATGCTTAAAAGCACAATCAGTTGGCTAATTGATAACAATGTTACATACATAGGGATCCTTTCGAATAGAGCACCAAGACGTGTATCCTTGTCGCCGTATCATGATGTGCAATTCATTGGGTAGAGCTCCACTTTGGTACTCTATTCGAAGGATCACAATGGAAGTGACATTGTACCCTATGTACTTGACTAATCTTGTCTACGTCTTTTTTAAAAAAAAAAATACAAGCAACAAGTATATAATGTGTCTTAAGCAGGTAGCAAATAGTAGGACAATTGTCATCATTTCAAGATATGATGACACACTAGGTCTTTTGTCTCCATTCTAAGTTATGATGACACACCAGGACGTGTTTCTTCACTTTTAGATATAATTTTAGATATAATGGCACAATACAGAGAAGCGCTGGGGCGTTCGTTTCCGAGTGGTTAAGGTCTTTGACCCCACATCAGTGTGGGTTTGAATCCTTCTTTCTCCAGAGACTCTGGGTTATTTGATGTTAGGAAAGTTATCAAGGTAGCTTACTTACAAAACGTCATTGATTCTTTCCATGTGCCCACTTTTACTTTATCTTGTTATACACAATTAATTGTTTGATAATCATATAGATCTATTTGACATCATCTTAATCTGTTTCAGATGTGCTGCTCTCATTACAAAGCTTGTAAAACCATAAAAAGCAACTGCCGCTGGTGTCGTATGTAATCATCATTACAAGTTGAAGGTCACTAGAGAAGTTGTTGATGTCATTGCTGATTATAACCACATCAAAGATTGATTCAAAGGACACCAACGCTGGCATCTTCTTTTTGATAAGGAACATTGACGATTCAATTAATTAGTTCGGATTAAAATTTATTTAAGATAACGTTTCATCAACGTTTGTTCTGTATAAATATTGAGATATTTATAGACATGTCTAAACCATCAATTTATTTGTTCGTGAATACAAGCAAAGTATCACAGACTGAGATGGAAGTGATAAGAAGCCTTAACGGGACGATTGTGGGCGTGGCTAGTAAGGAAATGTATCGTGACAGTCAATTAAACGAGTTATTATATGTTGTTATTGTAATCATGTTCTATGCCATGGCGCTAATGGTGCTCATTGCAACGCAAATAAAGAAACAGGGTCGTGGTCAAGAAATTGAGTACTATGATGAGTATTTAGAAAGAAATGACAGATTAAAGAAGAAAAAGAAAATGTTGGCGACAATATCAACGGTCCCAGAGGAGGAACATTCTCTAACTGCTGGAGAAAAGAGAGGAGTTCAACTTGTGTAGTTACTTTAGTTCTTTTCCTCGTCCTTTGAACTAAATGTTGAAAATAAATTTAGCACATTTAATCAACATACAAATTTACAATATATTTTACTTCTGATTACATATTTATATACAAAATCTTTCAGCAAAAATTCAAAGAATTGACCTGTCATGTGATAAAAATTATATATATTTACCAACTTTAACCTTTAGATTTTTTAAGAAAATATTCCTGTTTATTTTTCCCTGAAAAATAGTAGTTATCCAATTAAATCAATCAATCAATCGATCCATCGGTCGACCAATCCATCAACCATGATTCAACTGATTAATCAATCAATCATTGAACGCATTACACATTTTTTAATTTTCCTTTTGATTACATTAATCATTTTGTCACAGAAGAAATGAAAAGACGCATTATTGTCAAACATAGTGACGGACTTCTTGTGTGTTGATCTATTTTTGATCCGTCAGAAATTTTAAAAGAAATGCAAATAAAATGAGTATATAATTTCATAATAAATTGTTTCAATGATTAATATAATTTCAAAATAGAATACGTGGCCGTTTTAACTTTTCTTTTTATTCAGATCCCCGTCTCTATAACGTTATATGAATTATAGACTTTAGTTTTATATGCATGCCGAAACCACATTTAAATGACAGGAAATAAATGGAGAATCCGCTTTTGTTTTGTTTTTGTTTGGAGCATGCCTCCAGATTAATGTTTTTTCATGTCAATTTTGAAAACCTATTTCCTAAGTAAACGACTGTGAAGTGAACAAAGGAAGTAATTTATGCATTGCAAACGGCACATTCCATGTAAATTACCAAAATTAGGTCAAAATAAGTAAAATTTGCCCCACTGCGTGAGTGTGAACAAAACAGCAGGTATATGGTGATAAATACTACAAAATCAGTCATTAACCGCCTATAACATGTGAATTATAACTTGAACCTCGAATCGTTTTACTTTTTAAATAATCTTAGTACGTTTTTCTCTGATTTAATTTTCTTGAAATATTTAAGACTTATCTGGAGGCATATGTCTGGAGGCAAGGAGCTCTACGGCATTTCATTAACGAAACATGATAAAGTACATGACTGCTATTCAGGACTGTGTTACTTCGTTTAATTGCATGTTGTTATGTTAGGAGTATAATTTAAACAAAAACACAAAATAAAACCCCATCGAGAACCATCCGGTTTACTCAAAAGGAATATTTTGGACTGTTAATCGGGCAACCCGGGTTCGTTTCCCCGACAGTCCAGATCACTTTCGTTGGGATTGATCATTAAATCCTTTCTACACAATTATTTGCACTGTGCCTCTGTTCTAGTATAGTTCCTTGCAAAAGTAAACGCAACAAGTACTTGTAAACTGCTTGACAGCCTGCCCAGAAACAATGCGGTGGCTGAATTGTGCTCTGAAGAATTTTATTATTTTTTATATTTTGGAAAGGTAATATGTCTCAATGATGATCTGATAAATTCAATAATTCCACTTCCTCTAGAAGAGGAGGACCACAGGTGTCATTCCGTACCTTAAATTTGACATTTTATTTTATTCAAGCTAGCTTTTACAAAACATTATTATTTAAGTGGATCATAACGATATAGCATTACATATTCACTATATTTTACCATAATTATGGTTGAAATATTTTATTATCTGCTACGATTGGGCAATTTATTTTATAGTTTGAAATTCAACAATTTCACAGAACTTTTTATGCAGAAACATGTTTATCTCTGCCGTTTATTAATAGAATACTATTTGCAAATTGTATGATATGTCGGTTATAGAAAATTTGTAAAAGACAACAATGATTTTCTATAAAATATGTCAGGTGACCAAATAACTTACAACCATAGAGATGTCTTAGTTTGAATGAAACGTTGTCAAAACTGCTGTTGTGAGATTTGGATACTTTACCAATGTATTAAACTTTGTTAATAAAGGGAGGTAATTAGAAATTTATTTTCTATAAAGTCTAAATCATCTTTTTTTCAACAAGAAATGAATGCATATATTTCAATGATTACATATAATGTGAACAAATATTTGCAGTACATATTTTAAATATTCTTCGATGTTTGAAAATTGTTTTGGAGGCATAATTATATGAAATTTAACTTAATATAAGAATATGTTAAATATGTATAGTGCAAATGTTTATTCGCATTATAAATAATTATTAAAATCTTTGCATTCATTTCTTATTGAAAAATGTGGCTTAGACTTTATCGGAACTAGATTTCTTATTACCTCCCATTATTTACATAAAATGTAAATTTGCTAATATATTTGCAAATAACGCTTTTTGAACTAACAATATTGATAAATCTTCATTCGGTCTTCAGATTTATGAGATAAAACATAAAAAACGAGTAACAGGATCTTTAAATATTATCATTATGTTCAAGGGAACTTTTACTTTTTAGAAACTGTAATATGTTCTATAAGCGGCTGTTGATTTCTAAGTCTTTGAACTTTGTAAAATACATATATTTTGTTCACTTTGCCTTTTTTGTTGATGTCCTATTTGAACATAATGTTATTTGCACACATGTGATATTCAGTTTCTATATAAGTAAAAAGGTTGCGTTATATACGTGAAAATACATAAAGGGAAATTTGGCTCAAGTGATTGTTTAAACTGAAATCACTGAAATCACAAAATTATTAACTTACTAACTAGGCTTCTAAGCAATTATGAATATTGCTTGTTAGATTGTTATTATGATATTGGTAGAACATGCATTTACGCAAAAATAATAAAACACAACTCAGACATATTAAAACAACCACTTTATTTGAAGGTATTACATACGTGTTCCATTTAAATACATACAATACATACATAAGTATACATAATTCATTCTACATTACAGTCCCATATATATATATACAGAGAAGAAACCAAGCAAAAATAAGTCCCCAAAAATTCTCATTTTACACAAGTCATAATAAATGTTGAAACATGTTTATGTTAAAACCAGTAATAATTAAGTGTCCCTCAAATCATATCTGTGCTGTATATTTACGGCACACACTTGTACTCCGCATTGAAGCCTTTTCCCTGACCGCCAAAAACGGATGTTTCAAAATACAAGGTTAGGGCATTGCCAGTAGAGAAATACGGTACTTGTATGGCATCATATGTTTTCTGCACAAAGTAAAACCTACGATTATTGATAAAAGCATATGTTGGATCAGCATTTCCATATAAAACTAGGATATCATCTGGACATCTAAAACCTTGGCATACACCTATAATGAAAACCATATACACACATTTACTGAATATATGAACATGTACACAAGAAACTATATAATGTATAATTATGCCATGTTTAATTCGAAATGAAAGACTGTCAATGAACTTAGATCTTTTAGAACATCATTAAGTTTTAGATAAACACATTACAGTAAAAACTCAGACCAGCAAATAATTGAATGTAATTGACATACTTACCATTTGATAAGCGGACAGTGTCATAAGTATCTTCTACAACAAAGTCAACAAAAAACACTCGGACTCTTTGTCCAGGCGGACAAAATATGTTCCATGTTAATTGGAGTCCTCTACAATACCATATGGTTGGGTAGCCTGGCGATGAAATGCATTTTGATGTTGCATCTCCATAAAGAGTGTAAGAACCTTTATCTAAAATAGATTACATTTATCAACTGAATTTGACAAAAATAGTGTAATAAACAAAATATTTATTCAAAAGAACACTTTAAGTTTTTTTTATGATCACTTCAATTAAATCATTGTCATAAAAATGCTTATCTTAAGTTATGTCGGATAGAAGTAATATATCATATATTGAATGTACGAATTATTGGCTTCATTTTAAATACAGGTATCATAGTTTTGAAAACAGACTATAAATCAGTGATAATGAATCTTTCCTAGAATGTCCATGCTTTAAAAACTGCAATGCTCACAGTTCATCGTCATATGTTTTGGTATCCATTGAATATTCTACATACAACTTTCATCTTATTTTACTCTCATACATGCACGTACGCATTGCACGCACAAATAAACACACACAAAATGTATATAAACTATACTAACCAAATGTCGTGCATGGTTCCGATGTTTCTGTTTCACACGGCGCCACTTAAAGAAATGTTATAAAAATGTCAAAAATAAACACACAGGTGTCTATAAGTGAGTTAATTAAACACAATCTGAATTTTAAAAAATGGGGGCATAAAGAAATTGTTAAAAAGTTCATATATATAATATATGCCAAACAAAAAATATTATAATCATACAAATAAATCATGTGCTATGATGAAGATGGCATGAAACATATGTTGTTCATTAAACAGATTATTTTCTTTATATTTTGCCAATTTACATATAGATACTTTTTGATAGATTAGATAGACAACTTTCTTGTGATTGTTGACGAACAGGTGATAAAGAAAGTCGGGGAAATATGTAAATGTCTGAAAGTAAAGACACAATACCTTATGAAGGACTCTTCCATTATTGTTTCTAAAACTAGAGGTACTGTAAAGCTTTGACAATCTTTCTAAATGTCAATTCAAAATAAAATCAATTCAGTTAGTTTGCAATAAGACTCACCAACAATTTCGCAATGTCTACCAGTGAAACCAGGTGGACAAGCACATGTGTAATTTTTCACCCCATCAATACATGTACCGCCATTTAAACAATAACTTTCGTCACAGTCGTCAATATCTATTAAATTGAAAGTGTCATTTAGGTCATTTATACTCAGAACTTTATCATAAATAATATAATAAGAAAGGTGTTGAAATTTGGACCAAAGATTAGTTTAAACTTCAAAATGTCTCTCTCGTTTTCTGTTCTATCAAACTATTTCAGACAGCTCGCTTCACGGGGTCAACTACAGCCTCTATATGAAAATATGATACAATCAGTATTAAGCGCCTGGCTTCTTGGTCCCGTTATGCAACAAATGAATAAGGAGATTTCCTCACAAGAAGTAGGTTAAATGACCTTATGTTAATATGCATTGATGATTCAGTGCTTGAAGTTGTAACAAAGATGATTTCAATACTAAGATAAAGAATGATTTTTAATTTAGTTAACTATTCTTACTTTTTTCACAAAATTGCCCAGTGAATCCTGTTCCAGTGCAGTCACAATAGATCATTCTTTCGTTTTCAATATCACAAATCAGTTTACATTGTTCAAACATTGTGCAGTTACCTTCCACATATAGAGAACGTTATTTACAGGTAAGTTCAAAGTAAGGAAGTAAGGTTTAAGAGTAACCATTAATTAGAAATTTGTCAATTTTGGTAGATTTATCTTACAATTTCTTGTAAATAATCTTACAAAGTACGTAAATACATATATTCATGAAGGAAAATCCTTTTTAAACAGACATGTCATTTAAGGAAATTTATGTCTCTATCAAATACAGAGTTATTTGATATACAAATTCATTTTAATTAGAAACACAATTAGTGCTTACATTGAAAACAGTATTTCATCGCTTGTGTCGGCCTCCGGAAACCTGGTCGCAAACACATCATTGTTCCATTACACTAAAATACATTTTTTTATAAAATGATGTATATGTATATGAAATTATTAAATTAAACATAAATAAATGATAGATTATAAGGTGGAGTTGAGTTTTATTGATATATATGTATTTCTTCTTACATTAATGTATTACTTCTTACTTAAACACAAAGTGATCGAAAACACAAGGGTTAACCAATATAATAATGTTTGGAAATCAATAACTGGCGGGACTATAACTAGTAGATAATCTTGGAAAAGGGCGATTAATGTAACTGTGAAAATTATCACAATATAACATACGCAATAGAGCTTGGAAATACCCTTCAATATAAAGGATTTTTCATAATTAAAAGAGCCGGGGATCACCTCTGCAGTGTCAATTAATAAGACACGCAGTCTGATCACGATCCATGCTATTCGTTTATCAACTCTATTACAAGTCGAGAAACTGGTAGCGAACAGCATGGATCCTGATCAGACTGTGCGGATGCTAGTCGCATACGCACTATGTTGGTTTTGTCGTGACGCAGCTCAAATGTTACATAAATCACTTACGTCCGCATCATCTATACAGGTTTCGTTTAGAGTTGACAATGACTTGAATGAAGTTGCATTAACGGCCGCTGTAAAGCACGCTACGATCTGAGGTATAAATGGCCTATATTTATTTACGTTATATCTATTATATGATTTCTTTTTCTACTTAAACATTTGTTTTATTGTTAAAAAAATAATCTTGTACTATTATATTCCTTCTAAAAACATGTTTACATACATTTACTGTATTTCAAATAAAATTTCTTTTTATTTCTACCACAAGTCTGCACAAACCATTTTTTTCTTTTAACTTCCAAATTAGTGAAGGTTAGTATGAGTTAAAACTATTTTGTTGTTCAACATTGAAATAAAATGTTTATAAAAATAATTTTACTTGAATAAGTAAACATCGGGTATATGTACGTTACCGTAAGGAAGTGTATTGAATGCATCATTTTGTTACGTCAAGTATTATTCCAGTGAGAATCGATATTTAGTCAACTGAAAAAGAAAAGAAAAAGGCAGCTGTATAATTCTTGCTCACTTTTCTACCTATTAAATTATTTTGCTTCTCTTCTAGTCTTAACATCCTTTCATTTTTTCATTGATTTTCTGTCAGTTTCATTTATTAACGTTCAATGATAAAATAATCGCAATACAACAGGTTGTATGCAATAGTTTTTTTCACAATCTAATAATCTCATAATTTCTAGTATATAAAATAAATTAGTTGGCAAGGCAGAAACTTGAAAGACTTATTGTGAATAAACTAATAAAAGTTAACGTGTTCCGAGGGCATTTCGTGCTTTGCTATTATATACTAGTATATAGTATAGATGCATCTATTTTTTTATAATTTTTTAAAAACGTCCGGCGGTAGATATTTATTGATGTATATTGTTATGTGTTACGACGTTTATAAATAAAAATCATGAAGTCGGACACAACGGGTAGTCGCAAAAAAAAACTTTTTTTGCCATTAAGTGCCTGTGGTGAAACTCTATTTAATTTTAAAGCGTTTATCAAGCTAAATTCAGCCACCAATTTCACATTGATTTTTTTATATTGTATAACAGAAAGAACCTTGCGATAGGATAGGGAACGTTTAATATTATCGCGCTTTTCGGTTAAAGTACCGGTATGGAATTTTCAAGATGGAGGATTATTTTCGGGAAGAAACGTAGTTGATTTTTATTTCGGCTAATTATACAAGTAGTTTATTCTCTTGAAAAAAGATGGGAGGAAAATGCACATGCAAGTGTTCATCTCTTTTGACAATATGCTTAGTGTAAGTGAACATTTGTGTTAAATCGATATGTTACTAACACTTCACATGATAACTATGAAATTCATGTTCATGTCAAAAGCCAGACGATTCACATCTTGTTTATTGATATTATCTTTGTTAATAAAACGAAGCCTCAACAAACAGATGTACCATTGTAATGAAACTGTATTGTATTCAGTAAGTGCTTATTTTTAAAATTTACATAGATATGATGAAAGTACGAAATATGATCAGCACACGTCCATTTAAAATATCTAAGGTGGTAATCGTTAAAAGTGAATCGAAAATTGACTTCAGACACAATTCTTTTTCCTGGATAAGTCTAAATGATAATCTTTATTTGATTCTTAGTAATTTAAACGTAAACATATACTATGCTGATCTTGCCAGTTTTTTTAATGACACTTTATATTCATATCGTGTCAAACTATAGTGTTCAGAGTTTAAAACATAACATATCTACTGTGCGGTTGTCAAAACATGTTTATTCTACGGAGACTGTGAAGCAATAATCAATATTTTATGGTATCAAATTTGAGCATAGCATATCTTGAAACAGGTAGAGAAATACTTTATATCTATTTTCCTAAAAAGAACAGCAAGCGCAAATGAACTTCGCTCTCATTGACTAGAACAGTTCATTTTAAACAGAGTTATTTTGTAGAAAATCTTGGGAAATGTCTCTACTATTTTAATGCTGATTAACAACACGTGAAGCAGCGAAATATTTACATTTTAAATCACGAGAATACCAATTCTGACAAAAATACCACATTAGGGTCGTTCAAATAGAAGACCTGACCAAACTGAAAGTTAGAACATGAACAATGAAGTAAAAATAACGTTATCACAACTTCAGTACCTAAACAAAAATCAAAACTTTTCATTTTCTAATTTTCTTTTAACAAAAATTTTAAACAATATGAATGACAAAACAAATATCATAAGACTTACCTTAGCTGTTCTCTATACCTTGTTCAATCACTTATCCAATGAAGAAAATTCGCACAAAGTGTCTCATTTTATATACTTTAAAGAAAGAAAAAGAATATACGACATTGACAGATTTGATGCACGATGCAAAAGTGCAAAAGCTGTAGCGACGTATGTTTTGTCTTGAATAATGATTAATATATGTCCATGCAACACATGTTATTTTTCCAAGTATCGCAAAAAACTTGACATTATGGCGTGATTTTAAAATCGTTTATAGCGAAATAAATCTGAAATCCCCGGTCAAGTAGTATAAAAATGATCTGCTGAAATGCCATGCTGGCGGAGCAATCTACCAGGACATTCTTAAATATAGTGTTATAATGTTTTGCTGGAATGCTTAGCTTGCAGAGCAATCTAACGGGCGATTCCTAAAAGTAGTGTAAAAATCCTGCAATGTTCAGCAATCTAGTAGAACACTCTTTAAAATAGTATAAATGCTGCAAGCGGGGCATTCTAACATATAGCGTAATATATACTCTGCTTGAATGTTGCGCTGGCAGCACAAATTAGCTGGGCATTCCCTTCCATTTTATAAAATCTCTGCTGTAATGCTCAGCTGGAATGCTCAGCTGGCAATGTAATTTAGCGGGACATCCCTAAATATTACTCCTCATGCATCGTCTTTTACTAATACCGACTCTTAAAATGTTATTTTTATTGCCTGTATCAATATATTGCACTGGTCTGCGACTGTTTCTGATATCCTCGTAGACTTCCAGGATTTTTGGTGACAAACTGATTTATAACCTATTTTGCGTTCTAGTATCCCTCAGGACTCCGTTTTGTTGGTTTTCGACTTCTTGAACACTCTAAAACTTTCAGGAATATTTGTTGCCAATGAAGATAATGGCATTTTTAACTTTTATGGACCATCCTGAGTCAGTTTCTTTAGTCTGCGACTTATTCCTGGGCACTCGCAAACTTTCGAAAATCTTTGGTGCCATCTTCTATTTCTAGGGACCCTCCAGAATCAATTTCTTTGGTCTGCGTCTTATCCTTGGACACTCGTGGACTTTCTGGAAATTTCAGTGCCAATGACATTTTTTGACTTTTAGGGACTCTCCAGAATCCATTTCGTTGGTCTGCGACTCATTCTTGGGCTAAGGAAACGTTTAGGAATGTTTGCTGCCAATGGAGTAAAAAACCTGTTTTGGGTTCCAGTTACCCTCAGGGGTCCATTGAAAATATTTTCAGAGAGCATTGCAGAAGAGAATTTATTATACTATACTTCAGAATAATCCGCTTGTCATGATTGCTCTGTCAACTTATCTTTCCAGCACAGAATTTACACACTCAATTTAGGAATACCCTGCTAAATTGCTCTGCCAGCTCGGCATTCCATCAGAACATTTTACACTATATTTATCAATGCCGCGCTAGATTTCTCTGTCAGCTGAGTATTCAGGCAGAGCATTTTTACACTGCAATTATGAATGTCCAACTAGATTGCTCTGCCAGATAAACATTTCAGCTCAGCATTTTTACACTTTATTTCAGTATGCTTTTGTAGATTGTACTGCTATTTGAGCTTTCCGGCAAAACATGTTTACACATTTTTTTTTGGAATGTTCCGATAGATTGCTCTGACAGCTCGGCATTCCAGATAAACATTTTTGCACCTTTTTAAGAATGCCTGCCAGCTCGGCATTCCAGCAGAACAATTATTAAACTTTATAAAAGAATGCCCCGCTTCATTGCTCTGCCAGCTCGGTATTGAATTAAGAACATTTTTTACACTATATAAATGATGCCCTGCTAGATATCTTAACCAGCTGAGAATTCCAGCAGAGCATGTTTTTTTTTAAATTATATTTAAGAATACCTCCTTAGAATGGTCTGCCTGCTCGGTATTTGAGCAAAGCATTTTATACTATATTCAAGAATGCACAGCTAGATTGCTTAGCCAGCAGAGCAATTAAGTTCAGGAATTTTTACACTATATTTCCGAATGTCCTGCAAGATTGCCAAGCCATCTAAGCATTCTAGCAGAACATTCATTACACTATCTTTTAGAATGCCCTCACTGACTGCTAGATTGCTCTGCCAGCTGGGCATTTCACACAATATTTCGGAATGATCCGCTATATTTCTTAGTCAGCTGAGCATTCCAGCAGAGCATTTATTGTACTTCATTTAAGAATGCCACGCTTAATTGTTCTGCCTAGCATTTTTGTACAGTATTTAAGAATGCCTCGCTACATTGCTAAGCCGGCTCAGCATTTTGGCAGAGCATGTTTTACGCTTTATTAAGGAATACCATGCTAGATTCCCTAGCCAACGAAGCATTCCATCAGAGCATTTTTACATAGCATTTTGGAATGTCTGGCTAAATTGCTATGTCAGTTTAGCGTTTTAGCAGAGCATCTTTACACTTTATTTCAGAACGCTCTAAAAAATTACTCCTTTAGGTAAGCATTCTAGCAAAGTTTTTTTGGAATACCCCGCTAGATTGTTTTGCACGCCAGGCATTCCAACAGAGCATTTTACACTATCTTCCCGAAAACGCCGCTAGATTACTAAAATGGCTGATAATTAAACATGATTTACACATTGGATACTATGGGAAATCTTTGATTTCAAAATTGACACCTTTTTGAAATAAATACATGTATAAGTAAAGTGCTTTTAAACAAATGGATCATCCAGTAAGACGTAACAAATGGATCCTTACAGGAAGATTCATTCGAATGTATCATTAAAGAAATACCACTATAACAATGAGTAAATGAATTTAGTAATAAAACATCACATGTGTTAATCTAACTGCTTATTTATATATACAATTTTGTATTATGTTTTATTCAAAGATTCGATTTGGACTTGTTTTTTATGATAAACGTTAAATTAATAGATTAAACATGAAATATATTAAGTCATTTTCGGTACAACAAGCTCATTTTTTCAAATGGTGAATTTTTAAGATTTATATTAGCATAAAGTCATATAAATCTTATACAAAAAGTTTATTTTTTAAACATTTGTATTATAATAATGTAACTGCTTATTTTCCTGGATGAAAAGAGTTTGGGCGTGGGGTCAATTTACTTTTCTGCACAGCACGATTAGTGAAAAAAATCAATATCCGTCGCCGGCCTTTTAAAGAATAATTAAACTGTGGTGTAAAAAAAACTTAAAACAATTTAAACAATATGGTAAAGTATTTATGCTTAAACACTTTAAATAGCTAGTTACAAAAAATCATATCATATTTCAACATGTAAAGGCATCAAATTGCTTAACAATTGTAATCTTTTTCTCTTTATTTTACAAGTCTTTACAAACTAAAGTCATTTGAATAGTTAACGGATATTAAACAGTATGTGTTATTCTTTTTTGAACATTCTCTATTTGAAAAACGATCGTTTATGTAAAAAAGAAAGTGAAGCTAGGTTAATATAATTTTCAAATATCCTTTTTATTGCTTATTAAAAAAAGCTTCGTAACCAAATAAATTTAACTCAGTTTCGTTTTTTTAAAGAAGAAAAAATGAATGACACATCAACAGATTGGCAATCTGGCAAAAGTTTGTCAGCCACGAATGCTTATATGTTTGATAACGAACTAGGCAGTGATATCACTTTTCGCATGGGTGCCACAGGGGAGCGAGTTTTAGCACATAAATATATGTTGGTATGTATTTGTTTTGTTTTTATTGTTGTAAAATAAATAACACGATATAATAATAAGTCAAGGAGATAATTGTTACAATAAAATTATGTGTATTTACTGTAAGTTTACGCTTAGTTTTAAACTCTTTAAATATTAAAAGCGGCTACACAGAGGTTAACACGTCTGACTAGGAGGATTGCAGGTTGCTTGGGTTTAAAATCTGCCAGGGGCAAGCCATTGTGTCCCTGATCAAAAAACTTTATACTTTAATGTATTACTTAGTTGGTTCAATGAACGGTTTCGATCTTATTTAGCTGTATGAATTAAAATCGTATCTAGAGCATGTCCACTTTGACATACCATACATTATTCGATCTATCAATCGGTTTATTGAATGCATTTCAAAGATAAAAGAAAGCTGCACGTAAACAATTCTGTACTCTTTCTTCTTTATTTTACATTTTTCTATCATTATTGATAGCGCGTAAGTTACATTTCACAGAAAGGGAGTAGGCAGTGTAATGTTTTAAAACTGAAGTCTATTCTATTCATCTAAGAAATTGATCTATTGAATAAAATTTTTCGCGATGAACATCTTTTAGTGTATACTCGCTAATCGAAACTTTAAATCCATAGATACTGAAATAGATACTTTTGTATGTGTCATGTTAGTAATTCATATTTTCGGAAACAATACAATGTGTCGGAAATTTAAATCTATAACATAATATTCAGTATATGTTATTACACAATTTTAAAATGGAACTGATATTTTCAGTGCAGCAGAAGCCAGGTCTTCTTTGCTATGTTTTATGGTCAAATGGCGGAGATGGGTCGAGAAGTTATCATTCCTGATATAGAAGCAGACGTTATGAAAATCTTTCTAAGGTGTTGACATTTTACTTCACCTTCAATTTCTTACTTGACTTTGTTAAGTTAATATTATGTTTGCAAATTAAATAAATAAAGGATAAAAACAAAACCCAAATACTAGATCATATTCATGAATTCATGAACAATTAAAAACGTAGTCAAAAATGCAGTGACGTTAAAACATTTAACAGGTATTCATTTTAATTGCAACAGTCACGTGATAAATAATAAATTATAAATAATAAAATAATAAAAACATGTTGCCACTCTGTATGTTATGTTCAAACCGCTGATGAAAGGAAACATTTTCACATCTGCAAAAGCTGTAAGTAAAAAATAAACTGTATACTTTCATTTTTATTCACTATGTAAACACATGTTTCTGATCTCTCTCCCCTTTAGGACTAATATGTATTTCATTCATTCACCAACATCGTATTCTAGCACATCTTTTATTTCATCTGATTATACTGTTCACCACTTATTGTTGACAGGTTCTTATATACAGATAGAATTGACATAGCTCCGGACACGGTGATGGCACTCATGTACACAGCCAAGAAATATGCTGTAGAAGGACTGGTGACTAGATGTAGAGAATACTTGGAAACGAAGATTACATGTGACAATGTATGTACAATATTAGAACAGGCCCATATGTTTGATGAGAATGAGCTACGAAATCATTGCTTCATTACAATTTTCTCCAACAGCATGGACGTTCTGAAGAGTCCACTAAAGGATTATCAAAACCTATGCTTTGATTGCCTAAGGAAATTACTGCATTCTGATAAATTGATGGCAAATGAGGAAACCATCTTCATTGCTTGTTTGAATTGGGCAGAAGAACAATGCCGTTTAAAGAGTATAGAAATAAGTGATGTAAACATGCGTGGAGTGTTGGGAGAAATTCTGTATCTCATAAGATTTCCAAATATGGACCAAAGAACGTTTACTGATCTTGTTTCTGGCACAGGATTGCTAACTTCGGATGAAAAATTAGCGGTTTATCGGCAGTTTTGTAGATTGCCACGTGATGGCGACACATCGACAATTGGACTAAGATTTCCTTCAAAACCCCGCAATGCTACCGAGATATTCAGAGCAAGTCGTTTCAAAGAAGTTCTTGGGGGAATATTTGATTTCTGGGACAACAACGATAATGACTGTGATGCTATTTCTTTCAGGTCATCACGTGATATAAACCTAATAGGTGTATCGTTATACCGTCCTTTCCCAGATGGGATTATTCGCGGTAGTGTTAAGATATATGACGAAAGTAACTGGTGCATGGCAAAACTAGAGAACCTAGAAATAGTCTGTAGGGATGGCGATGAAACAACAATCGATATAAAATTCAAAGGTAGTGAAAAAATACAACAAAACAGGTGGTATACTGTTACACAACAAATGCAAGGATCCAAATCATTCTATGGAAATAGCGGGCAAAAACAGGTTCAAGGAAAAGGCGTAGTAATATCGTTTAGACGTAGTCCGATGGACAAAAACAAGACAGATGTTGATTCTGGTCAAATACCGGCTCTTCTTTATTCGTAAGGAACTCTTAAAAAGGCATGATATGTTAATATATGTATTCCTTTTAATAAACTTATGAATCTTTGAATACAGATATTTCAACCTTTAGTTGTTATATTTGGACGATTTGTTACATAAACATATGCGTTGGTCTGTAATAATCTAAGCAACTATACAATTTGATCTGTAATGGATTTTTGTCAGCAAATAAGTGTATTGTTGTCAATACAAGAAAAATACCATATATGGAAACAAACACAGAAAATTAATTCATGAATGATATGGATGTAAGCAAAGATTCTATCTATAACAATAACGATCACCTGTCTAATATTTTGTCCTAACCCGATAAGCAAGTATGCCTATAGAATGGGTTCATAAGACTATGCTCAAACGCGACGTATCCCAATAGATATTGTTTTCAGGATAATACCTCTCGTCTTACAACTGCATCTTGTCATTATCATCATGTTTGCTAAGTTTTAAATTGATAACTTTTATAGATTAAGATAAGCATTTTCGACACGAAGTTAAAAAAAGGGTATAACTCTAAAGAATAGCTTAATGCACAATTCGTTTGCCTTAGAACTGCGCATTGTCATGACAGTTTCACGTGAATGTCCTTGATAGTTTTGAAACCATTTTAATTCACAAATAGTTATATACAAAGGGACATGACTCCGAAAAGTAGCTTTCAGAATACCTTTTCTTGTTGATTTTTGTTAAAAAAATGTTTGGGTTGTTATAATTGTGTCATGTTGATTCCTTTAGTTAAAATCATTTCTGCAATTTTGACAGAAATGGTCATACCTTTAATACAACTGGTATTAAGCATATTGCCCGTTGTGCTAAGACTGCACCTTGTCATGATAAGCATGTATTCAAAGTTTTGTACTGATACTTTATTAGGTGCTGGAGTAATGTGTTGCTCTAAAGGTTTTGCACAAAGACGACACCTACGACGACGACGCAGCCATCAACTTTTTTCCAGATCCAACAAGTAAAAATCAAGCAACTAAAAGTAGAGGGCCTAGTAAGGCTGCACGTACACGCAGTGCGGGTCTGGCTCTTCATTAGTGTCAATTGCTAATAATTTCAGATTCATCAGATAATGGTTTAATCTGCATCCATTCATACTTCGACGCGATTTTCTTAATGTACTGGCAGTTAATTAAATAAAATCAGCTTGTCAAAAAATAAGATTTGGAGTTTGGAAATGATAAACAAACTTTTTATAATACAATGTAGTTTATCTTTTCTTTTTAGTTACGATTTTTTTTATAATATTCAACATTTAATTTTGTAATTTATCTGTGGTATTTGACAAATTATCTGTTATAATTTCGCATTTTGGTATCATTGTAGAAAAAAAAGAAAAAAAAAAGAAAAAAAGAGAACATATCTAAAATAAAATAATTGTGGGATTTTATATCTTTTAAAAGACTAGTGTTGTTCTTAAATCTTGTATGTCAATATGACAATATATGTTTACACCTTTTCAGAGAGATAGCCATAAAATGGAATTCTCGTGTGAATAGCTTCGTCATGTTAAAAAAGGTCTGTATTTGAGTCAACACACAATCAACCAGCAAATTCCTTGTATTAATAAGCGATTGCCTTTCAGGTAGTTTTCAATAACACAGAAGGCCCCATGACGCCAATATATTCCCCTTTTGTATCTGTGTCCTTATTACCACTGTAGACAGGCACTTAAATATTTTTTTTTATTTACATTTCTTGAAATTAAACTTTAACATTGCTAACTTTATATTAGCAGTCACTGTGTTCTTTGCGGGAAAAACACATTTGCATTATCTAAAATGTACAGTAAATAAAAAAGCTACATGGATCATGTTTACTTAAGCTTTGCAATGGGTACAACCAATGTCACAGCCTTCCTGGCTCAAGGTAAAGACAAAGTTCAAATATAAGATAATTACTTATAAAATCTTTTAATTTTGAAGTATTGTTTTACCTTGATTGAAATGTTCACATTAACAAGGCAATATTCAGGAACACATGCCATTTCTGTACAGAATTAAAGTCACTTTTGAAGTAAATGTTTTCATTTAAAAATATCTATAAATTATACTACCAAATAGGCTTTTACTGTAATGAAGCAAATCTCTTTACAATCTTCCGAAAGTTTTAATGTGCAGTAAAAACTCAAATTTTGGGTTTAAATCAGACTATTAAACTATCAACAATGGGCCCTTAACATATATTTTTGATTTTTACCAAACGTCAAATGCTAAAGTAAAATTAAACCAAGGTTTTACGACCCCAACAAGGGTTAAACTAAAATTTCAAAAATTTTAAAGGAAAATACAAAACCCTTTTGTCTTTTTTGTAAACCGTGTTTAAATAACATTTAAAATTTTGGCCCTTTATTCGTGGTCCCCTTGAAACAAAGTTTCAAAATTCAGTAAAAAAATTAAAAAACAGAGTAAATTACATTCTTTTGAAAAAACGGTGTGAGGGACATTTTGGGATTCCGTTGGGATTGAATTTTGGATCCCCAAAAAAGTTTTCACAGGGACAAAAAAACTTTTTCCTCAAAAAAAAATTTCAAATTGAAAATTTGTATTCAGGGGGTAAAAACATCAATTGGGAAATTAAATTTACAAAAAAAGCATTAACCCCATTTTATAACAGAAATTATGATTTAAATTAAAAAATTAAACTGAATGACCCCACTTCATATGAAAATATATTGGGTTTTTATTTCAAATTTTTTAAACTATTTTTCTTTGAAAGGGTTTTGGGGAATTCTTTATGAAATTTGGGAAAAAAGTATGTTTTTTAAATTTAAAATTTTGTTGTTTTTGTTCCCGAGATTTTTAGTTTAAAATTTAATACTTTTTGAAAACAAAATTTACTAGTTTTAAAAACTCATTTTTTTTTCTAGTCTATAAAAATAAAAAATTTGAAGAGAAAAAAAAAAAAAATTTTAAAAATTTAAATTTAACCCATTTTAAACAGTAATTGTTAGGTTTTGAAAAGAAAATTTATGATTGTTGAAAAAACCCCATTACAAAACATTTTGGGTTGGGAACCAAGTTTAGTTTTGAAAATTGTTTATTGCACAGGTTTCAAACCTAGATCTAAAACTGTTTTTAAGGGGGGCTAAGTATTTCTATTTTTGGAAAATTCCCAAAAATGCTTGAGGTACGATATTTTTATTATTTTTTTTTGAGCAATACAAAAAAAATAAAAGGGCCCGGGTTTTGCGGGTTTAAAACTTAAATTTGGGCCCTTTTTGATCTTTCTTTCCTTTTTCTTAAACTTTGGGAAACTATGATAAAGAGAATCGGGGTTATTTTAAGGGTTTCCATTCTTTGTAAAAAAAGCCCTTTTTAAATTTTTTTAAATTGGGGAAATTTTTGTTGGGAGGTTGTTTGGGGGGGGGTTTTTTCCAAAATTTGGAAAAAATTCTAAATTCAAAAAAAGGGATTTAAGGGGTGGAAAGCCGCAAAAACTTTTTTTTTTTTGTGCATTTTCTTAATCAGAAGGGTTTCCTGGGTAAAAAAGGGGAAAAAATAAATTTTAAGGTTTGTTATTTTTAACAATGTAAAAAATATGCTTTCAATCGAAAAACCCCGGGATTATCATTTCGTTTATTCATCATTTAAACCCAAAATCAAAAAGACAATTCGGGTTTTAAAAAAATTTAATTTTTTCTAAATTTCTGGTTTTTTCCTTCTTTTTATCTTTTGAAACTATTAAAAACGCTTCTTTGCAGAATGTTTTTGGTTTGTCGGTCCCCCATTTTTATTCAATTGCCCCTTTGTAAAGATCCTCAGGGGTTTTTCCCTCCTTTTTTTTAAAGTTTTCAAAAAAGTATAAAGTCTTTATAGGTTTTAAAATTTTTCAATTGGCCACGGCCTTTTTATTTGTTAGATCAAAATTGGTTTTATTAAAGTCAAAAGCATAGAGTTTTTAGATGGGTTTACTGAATGTTAAGAAACACCCTTATTTTGGCGTTCAGTATGCAGTTTTGGCATAAATTTTAAAAGAGTAAGTTGGAGTATTTTTTTGTCAAAATTTACAAAATTTTTTTTCCCCAAGGCTTCTTTTAAAAAATTAACAGGATAATTTTAAAAACCGTAAAAGAATACAATTAGCCGTTAATTAAAAAGAAATTTTGAAAAGCATTCTTTTAGAAATTACACACGGATTAACTGTCAGATAAAGACCGTTAAAAGAATAACAAAAAGCCCGAAAATTAAAGTAAAAGATGGGGCAAAAACAAGGGGGCGAATTCCCGGGGGCTATGACATGTGAAATTCGTTACAAAAAAATGGGGTATTGAAAAATTTACATTAAAGTGAGCTTATAAAAGGTTTTAAATTTTAAAAAAGGGAAATCAATGATTGCTGTAATGATTGCTGGTTTAGAAATCTAGCGGGGCAAAAAAAAAGTGAAAAAAATGTCTGCTGAATGCTCAGCTGGAAAGCTTTGCAGGGATTCTTAATTATTAAAATGTTTGCTGGAAGTACGGGGCAAAAAGCAATTGCAGGGAAATTAAATAGTGTTAATGTCTTTGGTTCGCAAAGCTGGCAAAAAAATTAGAGGGTTTTTAAAAAAAGTTTTTAAAAATTCCTGGGGTATTCTTTTTCCCATAGGGGTCATTTTGTTGGTCTGCGACTGTTTTGGAACCGTTTTTAGATTTTTTTGGTTCAAAGGGGAAATAATGATATTTTTTGACTTCTGGGGGCCCCAAAAAGATCTTTTCATTGGGGGGTATGGGAATCGAGACTTTGGAAATGTTTGGTGCAATAGAGATAAAGGCATTTTTTGCTTTAGGGAACGCAGAGTCTTTTTTCTGGTCTGCGATGATTTTGGACACCCCGATTTAAGGAACCCCGTGTTCCAATGGGATATTTTGGGATTTTTTGGACCTTTTTAAAAAGCTAACAGAGTTATTCTGCGATTGGACTGTTCTGGACATTAAAATTTTTGGAAATTTTTGTGCAAAGGGGATAAAGAAATTTTGATTTTAAAAGGGGGGCCAGAGAAATTTTTTTGGTCTGGGAATTTTCTTTTTAAAGGGATTTAGGGTTTTTGTTGCATTGCGATATGTATTTTTTTTTAAAATTTTAAAGGGCCCTATCAGAACAGAGTTTCACTCCAAAAAGTTTATTCAAAAGAAAATTCCTGAAAGCTGCTAGTGCCCAAAAAATCAGTGAGACAAGAAAAAGGATTCTGGGGTGGTCAAAATGTAATATGTAATTATTATTTGGACCAAAAATTCCCGAAAGTTTTTGAGTGCAAATAAAGTCGAAAAAAAAAAATGGACTTGGATGGCCTTTTGAATAAAAAATTGTCATAATCTCCTTAAACCAAAAAATTTCTGAAAATTGGAGTGCCCATTATAATTGTGAAGTAAATTGGGTTATTGCTTGACATTAAATTCCCGAAAAACTGTGATTTCCTCAAAACAGTGCAGACCAAAAAATGGGTTAGGACAATAATCAGTTGGAAAATGAAAAGTATCTTTGGAGTTTTAAACCCCCCCTTTTTACAAATCTGGAAGTTTCGAGGAGTAGTCACGGTCGCAGAAGCAGACAGTGAAAAAGATTTGCAACAGAAAAATTTTTTCAGAAGGGATTGGGTGCATAAGGATAAAAAAAGAAGAATATTTACGTGTTTTAAAAAAGCCCCGAATTTTTCCAATTGGCTTTTAAAAAACAATTTTTTCTTTATTTAGATGCCTGAGTTTGTTAAGTATATTGCAGAACATTTTTCACTAATTTTAGAAAGCTTTCTGGATTGCCCACCCGCTGAGCATTTCGCACTATATTTAGGAATGTCCTACTTTATTTTCAAGACAGCTGTGTATTACAGAAGAGCATTTTTACACTATATCTAGGAATGCACTGCTAGACTGCCTTGTCAGCTTAGCATTCCAGTAGAAAATTTATAAACTATATTAAGGAATATACTGCTTGATAGTCAAGACAGCTAAGTATTACGGCAGGACATTCTAACAACATATTTAGGAATGCACTGCTAGATTGCCTAGCCAGCTAAGCATTCAAGCAGAGCATTTTTACACTATACATGTATTAAGGAATGCTCTGCTAGATTGCCTAGCCAGCTGAGCATTCAAGCAGAGCATTTTGTCACTATATAATAAGTAAT